CAAGAACAAAAGAGAAATGAGTCCAAAAATGTCCTGTGTTTTTGAATGAGTGGTTTCTTTCCACCATCTGCAGTATTGGAAACTACCAGATGAGGGAGGCTTAGTGAGTCACTCACTACTAAGTCCTGTTTTCTTTCCGTAGTCACGTTTTTTGGGTGTGAATGCTGTCTCTGGCTCTACCTTTCCCACTGGGTGTGGCTGTCAATAGCTTACCTCCTAGGGCTGTTTCACTCCAGCCACTTCTATTTTCCATCTCCTCTGTGAGGCAGTTACAGCTCTCAACTTTCTTCATTAGCTTTATACTCTGTGGGGTTGTGCCTGCCCCACTTCAGAAATCCCTCTGTGAATACTCCCAAGGCCTTGGCAGCCATCAAACTGAGGCATATCCCTATCCCTGATCACACTGGCAGGTGGGGAAAGCAAACAGACCACTGAGCTCTGTGTTAAATGTAGGCAGTGGGGCAGGGGTAGAGGAGCCTCTGCTAGTTGGACTTAGTGCCAGTACTTTCAACCCCAGACCTCTCCAAAACCCACACATGCCTGGCCTGGCTTCTCATCACAGCAGGCAAGAGCCCCATGACCTTCCTAGCCTGCACTTAACTATCTCAGTGGGTTTATATGTAGCCTATTCTCTCTGTGATTGTCTCTTCTGGCTGTCTGCTTCCCAGTCACTGTGGTAAGGAGACACCAGAAACTCTGAAGTGAAGTTGTGTAGTTCCGTAGCTCAGTTTTAAACAATTAACTCCTTCTCAAAAAGGCTCCTGATTAAACAACTCTCAAATACGGCAAGTGCTGCAGCAGGTTTCTTCTCCAACTCTAGCTGGTCATGTGGAGGAAGTTTCTTACAGAGTAAAACCTGACAATGTTTTCACAGTTTACAAGAGCTGTGGGCTTTTCCTGGGTCCGGAACTACAAGCCTGGTCTGTTATTTCTCCCTGGAGCTGCCAAATCTCTCTGGTTTTACCTTGTGTTAGTGGAGAAAGGTCCCCTTCCTGGGAGCCAGGTTAGTGTTCCTAACCGCTTCATTTTTTTTTTCCATATTGTACAGTTTCTCTAGCTTCTCTGTAGTTTCTAGTTTTCCTGTTTTCTCCCTCCCAATTTCTGGAGATCTACATCTTTTTTCTTCACCGAATTGTTTTCCAACGGTCTTAATTCAGGGTCTGGAGAGGCTGTATTTTGCTGCTGGTCTTTGTTCCATCATTATTTAATCCTCCTGAAGTAGGAAATAGTCTTGAATGGCAGAGTTATTAACCTGGAGGATCTATTTCCAGGTTCTCATAAAAGCGAGAAGTGACTTAAATTGTAGGGCATCTGCCTGGTATCTTTTCGAGAATTTCTTGAGGTGGGAAAACTCTCCCCACACATCTGATGTCAGAAATGTGAAACAGTGTGTGAGAGGAGGAACATTACAGTGGGGTTTCTTACCCCAAATATTTATATTTAGGATTATAACTTGGCTCTGTCTTTGAAACCATGTACTTACTTCAAAGTAATTTTCAGGAGTAATTTGCAATTGCATTTTGAGTAGTGAATTATTTTTTTTTGTAATTGAGTTGTTAGTTGGATCGTTTTGTTCATTCTTATTATTTTCCTTGAAGTTTTTATTTACATATTTATCTTGATTGAAAGTTTCTTCTTGCTGTGGATTTAGCTCAGTGGTTCCACTACCTACCTCACAAACACAAGGATCCTAGTTCAATCCCTGGTAAAAAAAAGAGAAAGTTTCTTTTCTCCTTTTCCCTGTGACAATGTTGTTCCTACTTGACATTTTAAAAATTGCTTTCCCCTAGTCTTGCCATCTGCAATCCAAAACTAGGTGTGTGATTAGAGTTCTTGTCTTGCAGTGACCCTGGAGCCAGTAGATGCAGTCATTCAGCCATCAGAGAGTGTGTCAGCTCCCGTCTGAATGGCTTTTTCTGCCACCTAGAGCCACCACACATACAGTTTACAATGCCACCTTTCCATGGGGGAAAATGTTGCCCCGGATCTTATTAGCCACCATGACATTGAATATGACTCTGCTGTGCATCTAGTATTTTTGGTTTTTGTTTTCCAGACTCCCCTGTCCCCTAAAAGGAGGCTACCCCAAGTATTATCAAAGGAATCACTCTAACTTTGACATAACAATTCCAGGATGTCTCAGTTGGATCTCGATGTCATGTTACATGCTTAGACAAATACTACTAAGTGATATTTGATCACCATATTACAACAACATAGAATGGTAGAAAAGGAAGGAATAAATATAATAAAAATAATTTAAACTCATTGGGGAAGAGGAAACATAGGAACCATTACACACATATCTTAATCTACAGGAACAAGATTCCCTTTTCTTGTCATAAATATGAGCTCCATGGTCAGCCTATCTGGTTACCTTCAGTTGTTTTCTGGAGAATGCCCTTTGTCCTTTGACAGATATGGCCATATCTAAAAAGGGCTTTGGAGAAGAAGTTCTTATGGGGGCTTTATCAATGACAAGTCCATTTTGTATTTCATGGGTTTAGAAATCTGGATTGTCTTAATGGCCAAGTCCATACAGCTACTTCTCAATTCCTGATGTGGTTATGTTCCACTACACTCACTGCAAATATCATAAGGCAAAAGTCTATTTACTCCACTGAAGCCCACCAAACATCATAACTTAGTAACACAGAACAGTGTAGACTATTGCTTGTGTCTTTTGTGATCTCACCCTGGCTGACTGGGAGCAACCACTTGTTGCCATCGCCCAGCATTGTGAGAGAATATCACGTTACTAGCCCTGGAAAATTTCAGCATTCAAAATTATAAGTATAGTTTCAAATGAAAGCATTTTGTTTTTGAATCAATCATCATAAAGTAAAAAAGAAATAAGTTGAGTCATTATGATTTGGGCATTATCTGTCATCATGGGAACTTATTGTTCACCAAGTGGGAGTTTCTCTGGAAATACATATCTTGAGAAAGAGATGCAACTTATTTCTGCTCAACTCTGCGGTGAAGGAATTGTCTAGAAAGCCAACACCTCTATAAGCCAGCTTAAGAAGTGATCTCTCTTAATGGTTACCTGCCCATATCCCAGCCCTAAGATGAACTTGGAGTCTATCTCCATCTTCTATTACATGCCAGACCAGTAATGGGGGGACGGGTACCTAGGTAGACCACATGGTCCTAGACTAAGGACTGAAAGTATATCAGAAACACTTCTTGGTTTCTTTCTACCTCTTGGCTTTATTTTGCGTCCCTGTGTGTGTTGGTTTTGTTCTTAAATTCTATGTGGCAATAAGATGGGCTACAGCCATACTTATTGCACATTCTCTCAGAAAGTCTATTTTCTATATAAGATTTAAGAAAATCCCTGGAACCAAGACTCATTAGTTCTACTGAGTGGGTTAAACCACATTTCTGTCTTTGAACCAATCACCATGGCCAGATAATGGGATACACAATTTATAAGCCATATATTTAGTCTACTTTTTGACCTCAAGTTACCATTTCAACACCATCCTTTCTTAGTAGCCTCTTTCTCAGGCTATTATCTTTGAAAGTGTGTTTTATATTTATGGTGCTTATTCTTGCTTCTCTTTGCTCAGTCACTTCCACTGAACAGTGGCCTGTGCAACAAGCTGCCTCAAATGAGAACAGCTAATGGCGGGATGTGGACCAAAGTAGGAGGAGGAGGGAAAGTGGGTACCAATGTTTTGTTGAGAGTCTTCCATAGCACAGGCCCATGTACTAAAGATTTGGTTCCTAGGGTGACACTATGGCAACCACAATTTAAAGGAGAGGCTTATTTTGACTCATATTTTCAGTCCATGGTTGGCCAGTTCCAAGGCAGGAAGGGCACAGTGGAAGGGTCTGTCAGGGGAAAGCTGCTCACATCATGGCAGCTGGGAAGCAGAGAGAGAGAGCCAGGGAGGGAGATAAACCCTTACTGGTCACACCCCAGGCTTCATATTCTACCAGCATATTCAGCTATGGATTCATCAGTGAGTTAACCCACAGATGAGTAGAACAATCCAATCACCTTCCACACACATGAGAGTTTAGAGGGTTTTTTTTTTACTTTTGTCCTATTAAGGGTTGAACATAGGGCCTTTGCACTAAGCTACACCCCAGTCCTTTTTTATTTTTTGAGACAGGTTCTAAGTTGTTAAATTGCCCAGGCTGAGCTCAGACTTAGAAGCTTCCTGCCTCAGTCTCCAAGAGTGCTGGGATTATAAACATGTCCCACCATGCCTGGCCCTGGGACATTTTAGATCTAAACCATAACAGCATCATTTGGCCTTTACCTTGTCCTCCCATTATATACCCCAGGCCTTTGTGGGGCAGAGGAAGAGCGACTCTCTTTTTGGCACAGTCTCTGTGGTGGTATGTCACATTAGTGTTTTCTGGGCTCCAATGCAGCATAGGATGCAGAAAAATAATTCTTCCATCTTTTATTTATTTATTTATTGTTCCCCTTTAGAATTAAGCTTGCACCCCAGCTGGGGATGTAGCTCACTGGCGCTGTACCTGCCTGGCAAGTGCAAGGTCCTGAGTTTGATCCCCAATACCAGGAAAAATAAAAGAATTAAGTCTGCACCCAAGGTTGTAGAGCTCCCATACTACATTCAAAATCACTACTTTTTCCTAATTCAGGCATTGTTTCTCAATCCAGCATTCATGTCTTTGTTCTTTTTCTTTTACTGTTAAGAGGTTTCTCAGGGCCTCTGAGAAGAGATTTGTGTTGCTCCTAGCTACCAGCTTACTATACATGTCCTGATATATCAGACTCAGTGTATGTTCTTCATAGGACATGTCTTAGCCTTTTTTTTTTTCTGTTTTTTGGCGGGTATGGGGGATTGAACTTGGTACCTTGTGTTTGTGAGGCAGGCGGTGGCACCACTGAGCCAAATCCCAGGGCCCCAAAGAGACTTTCTTTTACCCACTCCACCACTTTATCAGATATACTGTATGAACCAGCTTCCTGTCACTATAATGAAATACTTAAAGAGAAAAGGTTTATCTTGGCTCACAGTTTTGGAGAGTCTGGTCCTCCAACAGCCGTAATCTATTGGCCCCATTGCCTGGGCCTGTGGGAGGCGGCACAACATGGTGGGGACAGGTAGGAGAACGAACTGTTCACTTCATGGTCATGAAGCAAAAGAGAAACAGAGACCAGGATCCCACAGTCTCTTTGGGGGACATTTTTCCAGTGATCTAAGGACCTTTTACAAAGACCCACCTCCCAAAGTTTCCATCACCTAGGCATGCCCTCGATTACCTAAGATCTTCCCACAGGGCCCTCCTATAGGTCCCCAGCACCTCTCAACAGCCCACCATGGGAGGAAGCCATTATCACATGGACCTTTGGGGACACTTACCAAACTACAGCACCTGTCTTCCAGATGGGCTCTTTAGGCAAGAGTCTTGTCTACAAAAGAACATATACAGTAGAACAGCAGTTATATATACTTTAAAATCATGTAAACCTCACTCCAAACATGTTATTTGTGAAAAATAAATATTTGGCTATTGTAGGCGAGCCTGGGTCCCCAGCTCCATACTGGGGCACCACCTGTAGGTGATCTTGTCCGGTCTCATTCTGAGACTTAGACCCACTACTTTGTTCTCCCTGACCAGGGGGTGTGTGTGTGTGTGTGTGTGTGTGTGTGTGTGTGTGTGTGTGTGTGTGTGTATGAATGAGGATGAATGACAAAGAGACAGAGTCAGCTTAACAGGCCAGCAGTCAGAGAGCTCCTACCTCCAGCCCGCAGAGGAGCCCCGAGCCTTTGGCTGGATCACCAAGCTTTTATTCACCTACACACGGGCACGAGCAATCAAAGCAACACTTGATTCATCTGCTTTCCAACATCCATTAATACATTCTCTGGTAAACAACATAACCTCAGCTGTATTAACTTTCCCCTAATATGCAACTTGCAATCACTCCTGAGTGCAGCCTTTCTGCTTTGTGTTCACGGAGGAGGCCAATTAGGCCTCAATTCTCCTCTGGTCTTTGACAGGTTATACTAAAAGGAAAGAAAGATAATTGTAGCGGATTGACTAATGGTACTTGTAATGCCTAGCTGAATTGAATCAGCATGGTCCGGGCATGGAAGATCCACCTGAAGATTGCTACCAATAGCCGTAAAAAGAGAACTAGGGAGGAAGATCTCAGTCCTGTCGATTTCCCGATAGGAACTAGGCTGTTCTCATCGGAGGATGAGCTTGGGATCTCACTGTCACTGGGAATGGCCACTGCTTTCATCAGGGGAGCTCTGATCTTCACTGTAAGCATCATTTCCTGGCTCCAATGTGGATCCCTTAGGTTGGTGGCACTGATCCTTTATCTCACGAGCATGGATTTTTCTGGCTGTCACCACTGACCTTCGGGTCTTCCAGGTGCAGCTCCTCAATACGGACAAGTGTGAGACATTGCCGTGGGCTGCAGGCCACTGGCTGGACTCGAGGAGGACATTGCCTTGGACTCTCAGCCTTTAGTTGGACTTGTGTGGGAAACTGCTGGGATTTAGGTCCTTAGTTGAATGTTTTAGGCTTCTAGTGTGCGGTTAATTTCTTGGACTCCTTGCATTTGACTCTTTGGGTAATTATCATAAAATAACCTTAGAAGTTACGTGTCCTGTACTTAATGTATTCCCTCACCCAATGCTGCTGACTACAACAATAATGAAATAGGAGTGTCAAGGAGGGAAATACAAAAGACTTAACTCATCTGGGTCATTTTCTATTTTTTTAAAGCTGTGTGGTAAGCCCACAAATGTTTAAGTTTATTATTTACTACATGTACATACATTATATCTACATGAATTCTGTCATACTCAGTTTTGTTTTGGTTGAGATAAGGTTTGGCTAGGTATCCCAGGCTGTCCTTGAATTCCCCATCCTCCTGTTTCAGTCTCTCAAAACCTGGGATTATAGGCACATACCACCATGCCTGACTTCATTTTGAAAATTTTAAGCATAAAATATTTTACAGTGAAAAGCTTGTTTTGACCTAAGAATACACTTAAATATTTACACTTCTGAATTTGTTTCTTATACTTCTCCTTTTTCACCTGTTTCCTTTCCATTAGCTACTATAATCTCTGAGTTCTGGAGAGCCCTTTTCATATTGACCTTCTTTTTCTGAAGGGCTCTTTTCTATTTCCTCTGATGATTTCATTTATACTTCCTTCCTGATTGCTAGTTCCTTTATCCAACTCTTGGTAAATTTATTTTTTTGCCTATTTGGATGACATCACCAATATTTCACAGTTACTTTCTCCTCTGTTTTTATTTTCCAGAATGCTTCCTGCTTCCAGGAATTACTGTTAGTAATAGTATGTGAATCGCTGTTAGGCTAGGATGCCTCTGGGTTTTCTGTTTTCTCCTCTTGGTGATATTTAATCAAGATGTGTTTCTAGATATGTTATGGACTACTTTGTAAGCCGCTGTGGCAAATTGGAATTATGCTCGGTTTTTAAGCGGTATCAACAGTGCGGTGAAATGGAAGTATTCCCCTGAGGAAAAGGTTTTGTTAGCAGTTTGTCTTTGGGAAGTTTCTGCTTCTATCTGCCCAAGTTCAATGCCTGGAGTGACCACCCATAGTCTACCATGGGCTACATAAGGTATGGTATAACCATTAATCAGGTAGTCGATTTGTCAAAATAGGAAGATGTTCATGCAAGTTAACATAATAAGTTATTACAGTATGTACATCTATATAACTTCTATGTTATATATGATCTTATTTAAAGCATTCTGCAATATATCTAAGAAAATACAGGTGTGGGTGAAAATGGAAGGATATACATCAACTGTATACAGATATTAACAGTGATTGTCTTGGGATGGTGGGATTTAGGATGATTTTGGAGACTAAGTTTATAAGATTTTCTCTACTTTCTAAGCATTGGAAGTGAGCACATGTGGCTTTTATAAAGATCAACAAATCAATCTTCATTTTTATTTTTTTGAAAGAAAGATTTTGGTGAGATTAAGAAATTTCTCCTCCAAAAATTTCATTTTTTTTCTTTTTCACAAAATGAAGTGCCCCTTTCCTACCCTTTAGTATTATGCACAACACACAGGCATGCCTTAAGGGGAAATAGTGCATATTCTGCATGCTGTCTTGATGCACAGACTGTCCTTCAAACTTACTGTAATGTATCACGCGGGATGTGCAGACCTTCCCAAAGGTATGCAGGTGGTGAAATGGGCAGATTTGGGCTGGAGGCGACACAGCTGCAGGGGTGGGGGTGGACAGACAGATGGACAGAGAATGGGCTGAGGAAAGGCAGGGCAGCCTCATGGGACTGCACAGTTCTATAGGAAAATGGGGGGTGTGTGTTTCCCCAGGACACCCAGCAGGATACTCAAGGTGAGAAAAAAAAGCTCCATAACTTTTCTTGGGACAGAAGTGTGCTCCACTCTCTCTCTTTGGAATGCTATGACACAGCCATGGGCAGTGGCAGTGGTGGCAACTATGGTGGTAGGATAACCAACGATCTGGATTTGCCTGGAACCAACCCTGTTTTAGTAGTACCCCTCATCCCAGGAAGACTGGGGTGGTTGGTCTTTCTGTAGATGGTGGACACATCAACAGTGACCTGGGAGGTACTAGAGTGGGGCGGCAAAAGATTATGGAGACAGCAGCAACTAAATGAAAGGTGGTACTTGCCATGGTGATGGTGGTACAGTCTGCTAAAGGCGGTGGGCTCCAGGTGAAGAGTCAGGCTGACAGCACCGGCAGGGAGGGCTTTCCAGTGTTCTCAAGGTAGGGTAGAGAATACGATGATAGCTACAAAGAGACAAGAAAAAACACAATTTTAAACTTATACTTTTAAGAAAAACTACAGCTTCAGGACACAAAAGTCACTCAAGCCCTTTTCCCATCCAAGAATCTCAAAAAAGAAAAAAAAAGAACAATTCTAAGGGTCTTAAGGACACAGTAGGTTTGTAAACTGAACTATGGGTCCATGCCTTTTACCTGTAAGGTGCTCTTCCTCTCATAAGCCTTCATCTTTAAGGAAGCAACAAAATTAGTGGGTGCGTATCTCGACTTCAAATAGTTGCATTCCAATACAGCCCACCAATGGGTAACCTGGAAGACAGTAGGAATACACATCCTAGATCACCCACCTGTGGATACCCCAAGACCACATGAATATAATCAGCCCTAAGTCTCAAGGGTGCCTCTATCTTGAGGGCCCATACCCTGTCCTGAGTGTGTATTTTAAGAGGTGGTGGGAGATAGAAGAAGAGAAGGGGAGGTAAAAAGAAGTAAGATGTGTTATGTATATGTACCAACACTCCTTGATGAGTGTACTCATTGTGTACTGCAAACTGTACTAACGGAAAGTAAAGAAACCTTAAAAAATCTCTGTCTAATAAACTTCTTTATGCCTTTTAATGATGATGCATGTGGAAAGTTCTTTTTCTGTGATGGAAGTCAGAGAACCTATAACCTACAATATGTGTGGAGTTGAGGTCTCCATCTCTTCTTGAGGAACCTCCTCAGACCCTGACCAGAGACCCTCCTACGGTTGTCACCAGGAAATCCAGAACACTGGAATGGGGAAGGGCTCAGCAGTGGTGGCTGGGATTCCAGGAGTTACATTTACGGAGGTGGTGCATCTCTTACCTTGGCTGTGGACCTACATCCCTTCAATGGCCCTTTCCCCAAACCTGGGGCTGGGAGGCAGTAGCTGGTTCTTTCCAGACTTAGCTAGTTTTATAGGGTTTCCTGTGGCTGGAGTCACCCTTAGCGCTTATAAAGTGTGATTAAAAAAATTTGTATGGCCCGGCGTGGTGGTGCACGCCTGTAATCCCAGCACTCAGGAGGCTGAGGCAGGAGGATCGCTGTGAGTTCGAGACCAGCCATAGTCTACATAGTGAACTGGGCTACATAGTGAGTTCCAGGTCAGTCTCAACTACATAGTGAGACCTTGTCTCAAAAAAAACAACAAAAAAAATTTGTATGAATGTATACATTTAAAAGAATTTTTACAGAGACATTGCCGTTATAATACCCTTCAGAATACTCCCCTTCACTTTGAACACATTTGTCACACTTTCACAGTTACTCTTGCCACTTTCTGAAGCAGTTCTGTGCATCTTTCGTGAGTGTCATTAGTGGCACTGTCCTGGGTGCCTTGATGTCCTGAATCAACTCAAAATCTTTACCTTTCCTGGTCATTTTGGCTTTGAGAAAGAGCCAGAAATTTCATGGTGCCAGATCTGGTGAATGAGATGGGTGAAGAGATCCTAATGTTTTTACAAGCCCGCCTTTCCTTTGGATGGCATGTGTGGCAGCATTCACTGGATTTTTTGATCACATTTCACAAAAAATAGTGACAAAAAAGGACATCCAGAGCTGCTTCAGAAAGTGGCAAGAAAGATGTGAGGAGTGAGGGAAATATTTCTGAGGGAGATTAATGGCAGTGAGCTTTTTGCTATAATATGTGTGTGTGTATATATATATATATATATATGTATAATTTTTCTTTTCCTTTCGGTACCATGGATCGAACTCAGGTCCCTGCACTCACAGGGCAAGTGGCAGAACCACTGAGCTAAAATCCCTGGCCCCTATATTTTAGAAATTTAAACACATGCCTTAGTTTTTATTATCTCTTTTATTTATACACAAAAGATCCTCAACACTTAAGTAAAATTCAAGTTCCTTTTTTGCCTTGTCACACAATGTAATGCAACTTAGAGAAGAAAACAGCTGAGTGGTTTTGGTGAGGAGGGAAGTCAGGCCTTAAGTACCACACATTAAGTATTAAAAACTAGGCTGGTGCACAGGAAGGAAGGAATCCAAGGCTCTTTATGCCGATCGAACAGGTTCAGTGATCAGGAAATAGTTTTTTTTTTTTTTTTTCCCCAATTGGATTTGAGAAGGTAAAATGCCAGGGTCATTCAAAGTACATGGTCCCAGCCCAGCCGCAGCTGCTCAGAAACGGTTATGTGGAAATACAACATTCAGTTTGGCGATTTCCTGGACAAGCGTTGCTCTAAGTGGGAGTATTTCCCTTTATGCCTCTTGTCACTCTGCCAACTGAGCAGAACGTTCTCCTAGATGGCAGTCCTTCCTCCACCCTGGAGGGAGAGCTGTGCTCCTTCTGAAGCCGTTTCAATCTCTGCCTCGCCCATTCTTCCATGGACTTCGTTGGTACACATTTTCTCCTTTTATTCTGGACACAGGGCATTTCAGAGCTGAGATCTAGTCTGGCTCAGTGTTTCTGCTTTCTCTAATTTCTCTGTATCTTCTTCCCCCATTACAGAAATTTTTTAAACCAATGAGGGCAGATTCTATAATCTCACCAACTCACCCCTCTCTCTGTTTTGGTACCGGGGATCAAACTCTGGTCCTTGCACTTATGAGGCAGGCAGCGGCACCCCTGAGCTAAATCCCTGGCCCTTACCCTTCTCTCTTCAGGTTCCTTTCTAAACCCTTCCTAGCCAGGTTCCCCACAGTTCAATCTCTCCTCAGCCTCTGTGTGGCTTGATCTCTTTCAAGGAGACACCGGCTGCTGTCCCTAGGTCCCTAATTCTTCTAGATCTATAATAGTGTAAAATAATTGCACATCTGCTTTAATTATGATTCAGTCTTGCTGGTCTTGTGGTCACAAGTTTCCATTATTTCAGAGGGGGAGAAAGCAAGTGCTGGCTTCAGGACCCTGTTGTCCTGCTTTCACTTCCTGGCTGCACAGTCTAGCTATAGCCGTCTGCAGATGCAAAGGGTGGCTAAAATGATCGGAAGCGGACCGTTTGAACCATCTGGCACGGTGTAGATAGCCCTCTTCGTGTTTGTGTTCTTGATTTTATCCTTTCCTCTTTTTTTGTTTCTATCCTTAGAAACACCGTTAAAAAAAAAAAAAAGAAGAAGAATAGAACCTTGACTTTGGTTTCACAATGTATGGAATGACTGTCATGTTTTGTATTATATATTTCTGACAGTTACAAAGCTTTTTAAAAAAATCTTTGGGTTATATGGCGGAGGTGTGTCAGAGAGGGCCAAAGGGAAGCCATGGGGGCACACACTGTAAGGAGGGCATATCCTTTCCTGGTGCGAGCCACACACTTCCCTGCCCTGCCTCACCCAGGGCTTCTGAACATGTGCTGCGGTTGAGTGCTGTCCCTGAAGCCTGCGGTTAGTGCAGCTGAGTCATGCTCCCAACTGTGATCTCCATGCGGGGTTCACTAGGGTACATGGGGAGCCTTGGGGGCTGGCATTTAGGGCACCTTTGTTTGTTGTGGGCTTCGGCTGCCCAAGACCCCTTCCAGCCTTGTGGTACTTTCCTTTGCACGGGTTTACTCTGTGATTGATTACTGCCAAGGACACTCGGAATCAGAAGCTCAGACTGTTTGCACAAAGTGTTGTTACAAGGCAGGCGCTTTGCCTGCAAGTAATCAACTTCAGGCGTCCAGATCTGTGTTCTCAGGGTTTCTGCCAATAGAAAAATGTATATAAAAACCTCTAAACCTAACAATGGGGACCTTAGGCAAGATAGGTCCTGTTCCAAATACCACTCGCAGTAGCCATAAAATCGGGGCCTATTTGGAAGATAATAGTTGCTGTTTAATAAATGAATAATTATAAGGTAGTAAAAAAGAAACAAATGTTCATTGTTAGGTAATTCCTTATGGATAATAACATAGAGTAATTTTAGAGTGCTTTTTTTTTTTTCAATTGACCTCAGGGTTTTACAAATATTAATGTATTAAATCTCACAACATATATAAGAGTTACAAAAACCATAAGGCCATTTCTCTATAAAGCCTTGCTGGCTAATTTTGTTTATATCTTCCAACTTGTTCATTTCTATCTTTATGCCTGAACTTGTTCCTACATGAAACTCACTAGGTCCAAGCAAAATTGTGGTGTAGGTGAAGTTTGAATTCCACATCCTCCTTGATTTCCCTTTCCTTTCCTTTCCTTTTTTCACCCCATGGAAAGTCTAATCTGGGATCCATTCTGTCTCTTGATCAGCTATTCAATAATTTACAATAATCAAATTGCTACCTGAGAAAATGCTTATGTATGACCTCTCCTGAAAATACATATCTTTTGGTCAACTGTGCCTTTGATATCATACTAAAATTGCAGAAAGTTACAAAATAACAGTACAAATAACTGCAGTTTACCTTTCCCTAGATTTTGCCCTGTTTAACACTGGCTTGTTGTCTTTACTGATACATGCAGGTGCATGTGTGTGTGTGTGTGTGTTCTTTCTGACCTGTTTGACTGTAAGGTGTAGACATTAGGTATTTCGTGGATCGTGCATTGACCTTTGTTGTCATGAAGCAATTGCTTTTGACATTTGACACAATTCAGAAAATGTTGATTCACATCACAAAGTCTCAGGACTAAACTTGTTTATGCCAGCCTATCTGAGAACAGGAGCTATCTCCAAATGGTAATCCTCACCAAGGGACCCTATCTCATCACATAAACTGATGGACATGTTTTTCTAGGAAATATTCAGTTTACTGTCCTGGAAGCCTGCACTTTTGCTGTTAAGAAAGGAGCAATAGTTAAGGATCTTCCTTCTCCTTCATTCCTGAGACTCAGCAAGCTGCTTTTCCAGGTGCCTCTTCTCCGGTGCTCTGATCACCACCTTTGGCAGCTCGCCTATCACACATTGCTTTCTAGGCCTGCACTGCTCTGGTGTCCCAAACTCATGCCAGTCCCCATTCTTTCTTTTGAAGGGCCTGGAACACCTTTTCCCCCTATATTATGTGGGAGTGATACATGGACCTCATAATTGGTTTAAATCAATGTGTCTCCCACAGAACAGGTCCTAGGCAGTCAGGAGGTGGTGCAACGCCTCAGGTGTATTCTAAGAATGTGAAGCAGTCAGCCCAGCCCTTCCTCTCTTCCTGCCCACTTCACTGCAAGCAGGATGATGTAGGAGTTGGGATGGGACTTCTGGGGCCACCTCTTGGTCCCAGTCTTGACCCCTTCTCTAACTAGTGATGTGGCTTTGAGAGGTTAATGAGTCTTTCTGTAACTCAGGGTCCTTGTACTTAAGAGTGAAGATAATAATATCTATACCCTGTATACCTTTGAGGGTTGTCACAAGGATTTGGCAGTTA